ATGTCAAAGTATTTACAATTACTTACCAATTAGAGTTCCTTAAGCGTATTGGAATTGATTCCGTAGATGTTGAAGAACTAGATTCAGACGAACTTGAAGATTGATTTCGAACTCTCCACGGCTCAAAAGAATAGCCTTGAATTTCTCCTTGCTCTTGTATTTCGCTTTGCATTTCGCTTAAAAACTCGTCATCAGTACTTTCACTTGACGAACTGCTAGAAATCATAATACAGTAATGTACAAAAAGCCTCAAGAATTAGAATTATCAACTTCGATGAAAATTCTAAAATCGTGTTGTTTTCGCATCGCGCAGTGACGTCATACATCGTGTCCAGACCCTCGCAGTTATGTTCAAGATGGCGCCGTCGAAGTCATCGTTTTTCTGTGACTTTCAAGTATCTTTTCTTGGTTATAAATGCAGCTACAAAGGTAAGACTTCGCATAAACATCAATGGGGTATAGACCTTTTATTTCACTATTGATATCATAGAAACGGACTTCTCCTTTAAAATTACTTTTTCCAACATGTATAAATTGAGGAAAAGCATCACCTGCAAACGTCACCTCTAAAGCATCAGCAGCAAGCGATCCAACTTTCAATGGTCCAAAGCAGGTAGCAACAAACGAACGTACACAGCAGTCTTTATATACGTGGCAGCTACCAGAAGCATTATAGATTCTTTCTCTATCTGGAACAAATTTCTCACTACTAGGAAACGTGCCTCGCAGGTATACCTGGATGGCTTACCTGGCAAGCATGATGGAGTTAGGCGATGAAGGTGTTTCGCAAACTTGTCAAAGAAGTGAGGAATTTCAAAAAGTGTCTCCACCTCGTCATTTTCAGTATTATTTTCTCCTTCGGATGTTATAACATCATCACTTTCGTCTGACGATTCACACCTGTCGCTAATTACAGATGAAGAATCGTCCCATCCATTAAACAATTCTTCGTCGGTCATGTCGTCAGTTGCAGATGGTGTAGTGTTGTTTGCAAAGGCATGATCGTCATCATTAAAAACGTCTACCTGAATATTTTTGAGAGGCAGTCCACTAGGCAAATCTTCCGATTCCAGTGATTGAGAATGCAGGGTGTCGTTAGGCAGTCTGCCACAATTTGCACTCAAAGTCTTCGACTGATTTTCGAGTTGACAAGGCAAATCTTCCGACTCCAGTGATTGTGTTTGCAGGGTGTCGTTATTTAATATAAAATCGGTATCAGATAACTCATCAAAGTTATGGGTTGAAGGGGAGTCAATGATTTCATCACAATGCTTGTCGATATTTGGAATCAAAGGTTTCAAGTACTTAAATGCAACTTCTTTTTTTTCATTTGTTTTGTGCCATACTTTTACTTTTCGCACTTCAGAGAAAGGTGCCTTTCCAAAGATGTTTCCAAGATGACAATATACAACATCTTTACAAACTGCCAGGCCAGTGCTTTGCATTTCAGTAAAAATATTATCTCTTAAAACTACATCACTTCTGTTACCTTGGATGTAATTGGACGCAACATATTGCTCTATCTTCGTTTTTACTGAATGATTCTCTGGAGTTTTCCTAGGCTTCCGGGGGCAAATTTTCAAACCAGTGTAACCCATTCGAGATTTACCTACAGACCTATATTTTTTAAGAGCAATACCCAGATAAGAAAAAAAAAACGCTCTCTTCCCACCTCATTTTCTATGTCAATGAAGGATAAAAAGCTTCTCCAGAGATTTCCAGAGATTCTCTTTTGTAGTATAAATGTCAGGAGATAAGGCAGTGCATTCCTCAATCCACAACTGGACGTCAGTAACCTGAGTAGTAAAGACATATTGGACATATAAATCCAACGAAAACAAATTGTCGATTTTGTTAAAAAGGTGCTTATGCTGCTGATGATTTACCTTAAACATTTCGGATGGATTGCAATGGCCTTTTTCTGTTGTTATTTCTGGAAAATTATGTATTGAGTATTGTGTGTGGAGAATCATGCACTCAGTCTGTTGCTTAATTAAATGAAAAAAATGTTTCTTTTTTCTTATCTCCTCTTTGTCTCGTTATCTCGATCCTCTTGAAATGTGCTATCATTTCAAGGTATCATGGTATATACTCAGTGATATGATCTTGTTATCAAATGTTTATATCCAAAACTACGTTTAACGCTCTTTAAGAGTAATTTCTGACCGCATTTTAAAGACTGYATTTTAACAGTTTTGAACCAGGTTTTTTTTTTCATTTTACTTTCGGGGGAAAATCATTATTTCATTGTTACTAAAAAACAAACTTTCCTTCCTAAAGGATTATTTAGTCTATTGTCTTAATGAATTGATATTTTCCCCTAAGTACAACTCCTTTTCTCTAATTGACGAGCATTATTGGCCAGCAAGTTTCTTGTGGTTTCGACACGTTTACAAAACCAAAAGAACTTGYGAACAACAGAATYTGTTGTCTTCCGATTGTCAGGGGTAACACAGACACATTTGGCGTCTAAAAATATTGCAAGAAAGCCTCAGAACAGTAAAACATTTGAAGATAAAGTAGTTGAATCACAAACGAAGACTAAAAACAGCAAACGAAAAGAAACTTTTCAGGTTTTATGAAGAAAAAAGTACATGAGTGAGACTTTACAAACTGTTACGTAACACTTTGATGTGAGAGAAGTGCTACAGGGCAAGTGGTTTACATCTAAACGCGAGTTCTTGTTCAAGAAATCTTGATAAGTAGGTAAGAAATCAAACATTTGAGAAAGAAAAGTAAACGTGTCCATGAGTTCATCGTGTTTTTAAGTAATATTTGTTTTAGATAGTACTTGTAAGTTTAAATCAGTTTAGGCAATATATAGTGACTAAAAAAAACGTTTGTCTAACTGTTTATTTCCATTCACAATCTTTATCACCAAACACARCTACAACCCGTGCGAACATCAATACAACGAAAAGCCTGCAACTCGCTACAGTTGCCTTAAGGTTGATTTACACAATGTTTGCGTAAAACTGAACATAAAACCTGTGCGCGTCATACATACAGCATGAATTGCGTCATGCGAATCAAAGCTACAACTCACCACAACTACCTAAAGGTTGATTTACACTGTACAACTGTCGCATACAACCTGTTTACGTCATACGTGTAAATTGCATAGTGTACCTCAAACCTATAACACACTACAGCTATACCAAAAGGTTGATTCACACTGTACAACTGTCGCATANGGGAGCACGGACCTCATAGCCCCTCCCCTGTCTATGGTCCTATTGGTTTATTGGATATTAGTAAATACATTGTATGACAAAAATTTCAAACACATTTCTTTTTCCATAGGAGGCTTCTGATTGAAGAGGGTATATGGGATATGGTCAGGGTCGATCATGGAACAGAGTCGTGTTTAATGCTCTTTGTTCAAAACATTCTTAAAAACTGCAGAGGAAATCAGTCATGTGAACCCTATGTACAGACGCGCTCAAGAGAGGTATGTTGCAGAGGATTGCTATCAAGCTGATTGTGCTTTGATTGTACTACAAGTAGGATTCCATTTCATCCATAGAACCTTCCTGCAGAGCGCAAATGGCCCGAAGTAAATCAAAGGGTGATATACCCAATCAAAGCAGTACTTGTACAGATGGAAAACAATTTGCTGATTAACCGCCATGACCAAGTARTGCTGTTCTGTGTCTCATTCATTACCATGAATGTTGCTGAAGTAGGAATTAAAAGAGTGAGAGAGTCTTGGAATGACCATGCAATTGAAGGTACATGCTGGGTCAATATGATGTCAGTGCATTGATACCCGGCGGTGTTACTTGTTGCTGGACTGCATTTCCCACGCTCGAAACTACCGTGACTTCTGTTGTAAAATAATGTGCAGTTATAAGTCTGTTATTAGCAAAATAATCTTGGCTGCCAGCAAAATACTTCATTTATCTGGAAAGSGTATCGATCAGCCTATTATATTTGAATCATCTTACACTGGTACCCGGGGGGGACTCCCTTTTGAAAGAGGGTGGGGATGCTTGCCGAGAAGATTAAAAACGGACCCTAAAAGGGACCTGTGCTGTCCGTTTATGGGCGTTGCAGGGATGAAATTCTACCCCTAAGAGAGACCAAGTAAAAACATATCGAAGGCTGGGTTGCTCGATTTAATTTATTACCATCAAACNCAAAAATTATCGAATTCCAAATGTGGTAGCACACCGAACCTACCGAGTAAAATGTCTCGACCATAGTACTGTGCCAACTGTTGACGAAGCGGTGACGATGTACAGACAAGCAGGAGGAACAATTACAGAAGATTATTCCTTCGGCATAGATCCTCTTGCTGCTAACATAGCCCTGATCAGGCAGAGAGACGAAGATTTTGCGAGAGAAAACCCCCCTTTTGATCAAATTTATAACAATATCAATGTGGAYGGATTGTTGTTTGAGCGTGCCATTTTGTCGTTTTTGCGCATAACAAGATCATTGTCTGTCTAACAWCAAATTCGTGCAGTCAGCTATTCTTGACTGATTCATGAAGTTCTTCTCTTTTGATTTGTAGGAAAGGTTTACAGAATATTACAATGTAAACGTATTAAACATAAGCTTTATTTACTTTAAGGGCTATTGGTACTTAATAAACATATAAGTTAGAATACTTTTTGTCGCCGTCACGTAATATTGCTTATAAATTCGATTGTTAAGTACAAAAAAATTTAAACACAAATTACTGACAAATAAACGTAAAAACTTCACAAACAAAAAATAACGAACTTGTGTTACCTACCAAGACAAAAGCAGGCTTGAAACACTATCAAAAAGGGCGTGTTTGTTAAAATGCACGCCGCCGATGTAGATTTCAAGTTGATAAAATCG